TGTATGATTTATAAAACCATATAAATAGCCCGAGTCCAACCTGGCCCGCCCATCAAGCATATAATTTTGGCCTGACCCGGCCCGAATTTTGGGTCAGACTCGGGCCAGAAATAGCAACTCTATTGTGCACATAATTTTGTTCCACCTCATGTACCATATGTGGTGAAATGACATTAAACCTACTTGAACTTTTTTATATTTTTGATCAACTGATCGAAATAATGTGATGAGTTGTGACACATTCAGGATTAATATAGAACAGAGGCTGTAAGACATAAACCCTGCAGTCCTTTTTGCTATTGTTCCTGTGGGATCGCAGAGTAATTTTATATTTTTACCTCCTCCACTGTCTCCACTTGTCCTCCTTTCCATTTGCCCTCCTTTTCCCGCCAAACTGAGCCGTTGCCCTGTCAGAACTTGTCTGGTTTGTCATGTGTGTGCGATTCTTTTTTCCATCGCCGTCTCTCTGGTCCTCTCCTCCACGCTGTACCAGTTTCTGGTCATTTTAATGGAGAGCAGACCACACACACGGCAACACGAATCCCCAGACGACAAGTAGCTGCACGTGAACACGTGTTGGTGCGTTAAAGACGTCCCTGTTTGAGCGCGCTCGTGGCGGATTTTCAGGTGGAGCGTGTTCGATGATGACGACAGTTTGCCAGCTCCTCCAGCAATTAATTAACACCGAGTTTATCGCAGTTAGACTCCCATGAAAGAAGCAAAGCTCACAAATAAGATTCTTTTTTTTAATAATGAACAATTTTGAAAACAATCAGCTGTAATGTTAATTACTTGCTTGACTTTAATCTTTTGCTCATTTATTCACGGACATGCTATTTTATCACAACTCACACATGCTTGATCATTGAATCACACACACATGCACACAAAGTGACTCATTCTGCAGAGGCTTTAGGCCAACCACAACATTCTTGCCCAGGTCTTTGTGTGCACGTGTTGTCTGTTACAGATAGATCTCATGAACCACTGGAAACATTTGAATGAAACTTGACGAAAAGTAATTATTGTGTGAACATCTACATCTACATCATCTACAACTTTGTTTTTAAAATCAGCCTGTTACAAGATGGTCACCACAGCCAACAGACCTTAAAAACAATTAAAATGGTTGGTTATGGAAGTAGCTGAGACTTATTCCCAACACAAGTACCTATACTCCATAGTTATTTTGGAAAATAGCAAGACAACTGGAAATACAAGTCCTCAGTTTTGCCATCCTTTCTTATAGATGATGATATAATCACTGACTAAGAATGTATAGTTAATTTAATGTACATTTCACAGATTCCGTTAGTGTTCCAGCATCCACATCGACTTGTTGGAATAGTAGCTCTTCAGCTCATGGAAATTGTCCATTGTCTCCTCTGACTCCTTCCAGTCTGACCCTGGCTTATGTTCCGCTTTGCAAAAATGTAGTTTTCACTTAGTCACTGTGAATGAGGTCAAGAGGGAATTGCAATCTCTAGACCCTAAAAAGTCTGCTGGGCTGGACGAGCTGCCTCTTTTATCATTTAAGTTGGCAGCTCTGTTTATTGCGGCACCATTAGCTAGTATTTTTAACTTTTCTTTTTTAACTGCTGAAATTCTTGCTGAGTGGAAGGCTGCTACTGTTGGCCCTCTTTTTAAGGGTGGGAGTCAGAACAATGTTAACAGTTATAGGCCAATATCTGTTCTACCTTGTGTGTCAAAGGTTTTAGAAAAACTAGTGAGTAAGCAGCTAACACATTATTTTAAGGTTTTTAATATTTTGTCCAGCACCCAATCTGGCTTTCATTCAAGGCATGGTTGCATTACAGCTACTCTGAAAGTTTTCAACGATATAGCATCTGCAGTTGACTCCAAATAGTATTGCATCATTGATTTAGTAAAAGCTTTTGGCTCAGATGATCATTCCGTCTTATTGAAACAACTTGACCGTATTAGAATTTAGGGACAGCCACTAACATAGTTCTGTAATTATATTTCAAATAGGTTGCAGCAAGTGAAGGTTGACTCTTATACTTCACAGTTTCTTCTGGTTATGTCAGGTGTACCCCAAGGCTCCATTCTTGGTCCAACTCTTTTGTCTATTTTTATAAATGATATCTCTCTCATACTTCACAGTTTCTTCCAGTTATGTCAAGTGATTTATGATAACAGGTTTCCTGCTTTTTGGAATCGGCTGGTTCCTGGTCTATCAACATACAAAGAAGACAGCTGCAGCTAATTTGGCCCTCGTCAGGCAGCCTGCTTGTGAAGTTTGGTTCATGCTTTTAGGACTCAAAATCAGCTGATTTACGAGCTAAACTGTAAGATGGAAGTGATTTTTGAGAATCGCAGGCCACCTGCGACTTTGGGACTCACCAGCATGAAATGACCTTGGAGGGGCTCGTAAGCACGGACCAGTAGAATGCACCCTAATCTGGCCGTTTTGGATCTTGAAAGTACCAGTAAGACTCAAGGCTGACAAGAAAAACAGTTTGTCTGAAAAAAAAAACCCAACAATTGTGGATTATCTGAATCTGACTCCCCAGTTGGCCCCGAAAACAGGCTGATAAGGCTGATATATCAATTTCGCCTGGGAAATGTGCAAACTAAGAAAAATTTTTGTCCACCCCCACCCTGAACTTCTGTGGAGGCTTATCAGAACTGTGCCGGCTAACCATCATCTTATTAAGACAATGGACTATCTGGAAGTGCCTCATGGACTGCCTTGTCATCAAATGCATTATGTAACGTCTTCATAAATGTGCTTGCTTGCAGAGTTTTTTGATGTCTTAAATCGTGTCCTAATTGGACAAAGTGTGAAGAGATCTTTTTTGTAATGCTACTATCCTCTCCTCATGGCTTTGTCTCTTTTTCTAACTAAAATAATATTCTGAAAAGGATAAGCGACCATGCTACCATAGCAGCAGCTACATGCGCTCTGCCCATCTTTCGGACGACTGTGCGGACATATTCTCGTTGTATCTTGGTGCAATAATAAAACTTATTCTGATTCTGAATTATGTGATTCGGTCATGGAGGAAGAACCAAACACAGCTTGGTGAACCACTAGACAGTGATATTATAGATAAGGTAACAGTTTATAATTAGTTGGAAATTTGGATTGATGGTGCTCTATTCTTTTCACATCATGTTAATGTTTTGCATTCTAAGGTTAAAGTGAGACTTGGTTATCTATATAGAAATCGATTTTTGTTTACATGGGCTGCAAAATACCATTCTACCTCTGCTGGATTATGGAGACACAATTCACAGATATGCTTGTAAGTTAAATAATTTACTTTGTAAAAAAAAATTGATGGCAGCCCTCTGGTTCACACATGTGGACTGTAGTAGCTCAGTGGTCAACGGTTTCCTCAGGAAGGGCATCCGGTGTAAAAAATAAATAAATAAATTGCTAAGTCCTTGAGTGAGTTATCTTACTGTGGTGACCCCTGAAGCAGGGAGCAGCTGAAAGAAAAAAAAAATCTATTTAAAGACAACTTTGTTGTCTGTTAGCAAATGTTAAACTATTTTACAAATCTTAATGAAAATGTTTGAAAAGATTTATTGCATGCACTTCTACTGATTAATTTTTGAGGCCAACCTGATTCTAAATGGCCGCCACACCCAGGTGAACTTAAAAAGATCCCAAACGTTCATAGTTCAGTCAATTTTACAGATAGTGCTTGAAGATTTGGTGTAGTTGCAGCTGGGAGCCATTCACAGCAAATAATCTGAATGGTCCTCATTGCACAAAAGCTTTGCTTAAAACTTTAGTATTAACTATTGATGTTGACACTGTCTGTTAGCAAAATATTTCATCAACCACTGGTTGGATTTTAATCAAACTTTCATAAAGTAATCATCCATATTTGATACATTTTTGGACTCAATCCAATGCAGGATGGCTGCCATAGCTAATCAAAAATAGCCAACACATCATTTACATTTTTTTCTTTGGCTGTTCTCGACGCAGGGGTCTCCCCATTTATCCTCCTCCATTTCACTCTGTCCTCACTGCAGCTACCTCCATAACCTTTCTTACTACATCCATATACAGGTATCTCCTCTTTGGTCTTCCTCTCTGTTGTTTTCCTGGCAGCTGCATTTCTAACATCCTTCTACCAATATACCCACTGTCCTTCCTATGGAGATATCCAAACCATCTCAGTCTGGTCTCTCTAACTTTATCTCCCAGTTCTTCAAATTGTCTTGTACCTCTGATGATCTCATTCTTAATCTTATCCATCCTTGTCACTCCTAATGAGAACCTCAACATCTTCATCTCTGCCACTTACAGTTCTGTCACTTGCTTTAAATTAGCCAACACATCAATGGTTCTAATTCAGTCAGTTTAATACATATTTGGTTAAGTTTTGATGTGGCAGCTGGGATATATCATGAGATTGCGTGAGATTATGTAAAACCTTATATTCAAGGTTTTCTGCCACTCGTGATAAAATAATCTTATTCTAAAACGCTAGCATTGGAAGCAGGCAATATGCACTCCTCCAAGGAATGCTAGGATTTAGATTCTCAGTCTATTTATAAACTCGCTGCTGTTACTTTTACAGTTTTTTCTTTATTGTCCGTTTTATTACTTTTTTCTATTCTGTGACAACTTCATGTTCTGATACACTTCATTAAGCAGCAAGGCCTCAAAGAGAAACAGAGTATATTTCAAATGTTACCAGCCTTAATGGAAGCCATCAGGGTCACCTAGCCGTCCACTGTGGCTTTTGTCCCTCCGTGCCACAGTTTGTGTGTCTTTGCTCTTTTTGACCATCCTCTCCATCTTTCTGATCTTCACCTTGTTAACTGTTATTGATTTTAACTAATGAGCCAGCGAGTGCCTGCCCTTCACCGTGCTGCTGTGGATGATTTTTCCTGTCAGCGTGGAAGTGTTTAACACCTGCTCTGTGAAAACCACAGATGGTAACAGAAAGCTTTTGATCATTTAATGATTGTCTTTCTCTCTCTCTCACTGGAATGATCTCTCTCTTTTCTTACAGTCCCTTCGGTCAATCAGAGTCCTTCACCAAACTGTGCTGCAAGGGTTTCTGCATAGATATCCTCAAGAAACTGTCCAAAACCATCAAGTTCTCCTTCGACCTTTACCTGGTCACCAATGGGAAACATGGCAAACTGGTGCATGGGATTTGGAACGGGATGATCGGGGAGGTAAGAAGTCTTAGAATGCAGCAACTGGTGCAGCTGTAATACAATTGCAATGAACGACTGTCAAAAAGGAAAACAGTTGTTAAACTTCTCCAGTTCCACTAACGACAATTTATTTATGATCAGCATGTTGATCTGTGGTCAGGGTCCCCAAATGGTGGACCGTGGTCCAGGTCCAAATTCTAATAAAGTCTTGGAATAAAATCCATCCATCCATTATCTTTACCTGTTTCTTCCTTTTTGGGTCAAGTGTGTCACTGGTGTCCATGTCCAGTTATTACTGTGCAAAAGGCAGGGGACATCCTGGATAGGTCGCAAGTCCATCACAAGGACACATAGAGACAAACGAGACAGACAACCATTCACTCTCTCACTCACACCTAGGTACAATTTAGTTACCAATCAGCCTAACATGCATGTTTTTGGAATGTGGGAGGAAACTGGAGTACCCAGAGAAACCCCATGCATGCACGGAGAGAACATGCAAACTGCAACCAGAAAGGTCTCGGGCCAGGATTTGAACTGGCAACAGCTCTACCAACTGTGCCACCAGGCCACTGGAATAAAATCAGTTGTTATATCTGATTGTTATATCTGTTGTTTTGTCTGTACAGCACTTTAGTTGGCCTTGTAGCTGTTTTAAGCGCTTTATAAATAAAGTGGTATAGTATGGTATGGTATGGTATGGTATGGTATGGTACAGTATATTTAATTAAAATGCCTTTTCTTACGTACAAATTGTATTTTGCTTTCATGGTAATTGTCAGGATCTACATTTTTTTTTGTAAGTTTTTTTTTCTTATTGATGGAGATGTGAAAGGTCACAGATGTTTTTCACTTATTAATGTTAAATGTATATGAGCCATGTGAGGTGTTAGTGTTTTGTCTAGACAGAAGTGGAGCTGCAGGTGCATGGAGCTTTCACCTCATGAAACTCTAGGCCCTAAGCAAAGAGGCTGCAAGAGTTGTCTGACCTCGAGTCTGACTGACAACCATTATAAAAAGACACTCTTTTATGCTCTCGGTGAGCAGACTTGGAAATGAAGCACCATGCAAACATCTTGAGGCTTGTTTTTTCAACTCTGTTCCATCTTGCAAGATTAAACTGGGATTAAAAAATTATCTTCTCTCCTGTGTGGCATATTAATTTAAGCAACAGAAAGGATAATAGTAAATTATCCTAACACTAGTCTTTTGTGTTTGATTATGAGATTTAAATTTAGTAATTTAAGTTACTTTCATTTATCAGTTCTTTGTTTCCTTTGTGCCATCAACCACTTCTCCTGAGTTGGTTTCTGCTCTTTCAGTCAGCCTGCCACACCCAGTCACACCTGTTACTGCTCACAGCTGCAGCCACTCTTCCCATTAGTCTTAGTCCGTACAATCCTTCTGTGTCTCTTCAACCACCAGTTGAACATTATTTGCTTTCACACCATGTCCAGTCCTTCCAACGTCTCCTTGAGCTCCCTCCATTATCATCCTTGAGTTGTTTGTGAAGAAATTGTGCTGCCATAAAAGTTTTGTTGCATAAAATTTGAAGTTTTTTTTTATATATATATTTGGGTAAATCTGCAATATTAAGTCCTACTTTCCTGAAAACATCGACAGGAATTAGTTTTAAATGGCACAAGCCCGGGTAAATGGTGAGGGTTGTGTCAGGAATGGCATCCGATGTAAAAAACTTTTGCCAAAGCCATAATGCGAGTTCATCAAAGGGAAACCATACTGGATCGGTCGAGGCCCGGGTTAACAACGACCGCTGCCGGTGCTGTTGACAAACAGGGTGCCGGCAGAAATTGTGCTACTGTTAGTCGAAGACCACGAGGAGGGAAACGTGTTAGGAGACAGAGAGAGAAGAGGAAAGTGAAGAATGTAGGACTGAGGGTTGCAACTCTAAATGTGGCAACAATGACAGGCAAAGGTAGAGAGCTGGCTGACATGATGCAGAGAAGGAAGGTAGAAATTTTATGTGTCCAAGAGACCAAGTGGAAGGGCAGCAAGGCTCACAGAATTGGAGCAGGGTTCAAACTGTTTTACCATGGTGTGGATAGAAAGAGAAATGGTGTAGGGGTGGTCCTAAAGGAGGAGTTGGCAAAGAATGTAGTAGAGGTGAAGAGAGTGTCAGATAGGGTGATGTGCCTGAAGGTAGAAGTAGAAGGTCTGATGCTAAACATTGTCAGTGGTTATGCTCCACAGATTGGGTGTGATGAGGAGGAGAAAGATACATTTTGGAAAGATCTGGATGAAGTGATAGAGAGTATTCCCTGGGAGGAGAGAGTGGCGATCGGAGCAGACCTGAATGGACATGTTGGTGAAGGAAACAGAGGGGATGAGGATGTGATGGGTAGGTTTGGTGTCAAGGAAAGAAACCAGGAAGGACATATGGTGATGGATTTTGCCAAGAGAATGGAAATGGCTATAGTCAATACCTATTTCCAAAAAGGGAAGAACATACAGTGACTTATAAGAGTGGAGGAAGGAATACGCAGGTCAACTACATTCTGTGTAGGAGAAGAAACCTGAGGGAGATTGGGAACTGTAAGGTTGTGGCAGGGGAGAGTGTGGCCAGACAGCATCGGATGGTTGTGTGTAGAATGACTGTTGTTGAGAAAAATATTAAAATTAGAGAAGAAGACCAAATGGTGGAAGTTGAAGAACAAAGAATGTTGTGAGATATTCAGAGAGGAGCTGTTAAAGGCTCTTGGTAGTAAGAAAGAGCTTCCAAATGACTGGGCTACTACAGCAACAATATTAGAGAGACAGGTAGGAAGGTACTTGGTGTGTCATCTGGACAGATAATGGATGATAAGGAAACCTGGTGGTGGAATAGTGAAGTGCAGGATGCCGTTCAACGAAAGAGATTAGCCAAGAAGAAATATGACAGTGAGAGAACTGAAGAGAGGAGACAGGAATATAAGGAGATGGGACGTAGAACAAAGAGGGAAGTAGGTAAGGCAAAGCAGAGGGCGTACGATGAGTTGTATGGGAGACAAAACTGGATGTTCTAACAAGTGAGGAGAGTGTGCAGGGAAGATGGAAGGAGTACTTTGAGGAGCTGATGAATGAAGAGAATGAAAGAGAAAGAAGAGTAGAGGTTATAGAAACTGTACACCAGGTAGTGGGAAAGATTAGTGAGGGTGAAGTCCAGAAAGCTCTGAAAAGAATGAAGAAGGGGAAGGCAGTAGGACCTGATGACATACCAGTAGAGGTTTGGAAATGTCTTGGAGAGATGGCAGTGAGATTTTTGACTCAAATATTCAATGGCATATATGAGGGTGAGAAAATGCCTGAGGAATGGAGAAGAAGTGTGCTGGTGCCCATTTTTAAGAACAAGAGTGATGTACAGAGTTGTAGCAACTACAGGGGAATTAAGCTGATGAGCCACACGATGAAGATCTGGGAGAGAGTTGTGGAAGCTAGACTTAGACGAGAGGTGACTATCTGTGAGCAGCAGTATGGTTTCATGACAAGAAAGAGCACCACAGATGCCATCTTTGCTTTGAGAATGCTGATGGAGAAGTACAGAGAGGATCAGAAAGAACTTCATTGTGTCTTTGTGGATTTAGAAAAAGCATATGACAGAGTGCCAAAAAAAGGTGTCAGCAAAGGTCAAAGGAAAAGTTTACAAGACAGTGGTGAGACCAGCTATATTGTATGGTCTGGAGACAGAGACATGGACAAAAGGACAGGAGAAAGAACTGGAAGTGGCAGAAATGAGGATGCTAAGGTTCTCCTTAGGAGTGACGAGGCTGGATAAGATTAGGAATGAGATCACCAGAGGTACAGCACAGGTTGAACAACTGGGAGATAAAGTTGGAGAGACCAGACTCTAGATGGTTTGGACATGTCAAGAAGAGGGACCGTGGGTATATTGGTAGAAGGATGTTATAAATGCAGCTGCCAGAAAAAAGACAAAGAGGAAAGCCAAAGAGGATATATATGGATACAGTTAGAGAGGACGTGAAGGTAGGTGGAGTGAGGACAGAGGATGCAGAGGACAGAGTGAGGTGGAGGAGGATGACTCGCTGTGGCGACCCCTGAAGAGGGAAAAGCCGAAATAAGAAGAAGAAGAATCTTTTCTAGACATCACAGTAATTTCTGTGGTGCCGGCCTTCCGTTTATTTATTTATTTTTTTTCACGTTTAAATGTAATCTTTGCAAAGTATTAAAAGAAATGTAAAATTTCTCCTTCATTTACTATTGTTTACTATTTTCTAGATATCTTGTTATGAAATGCTCTTAATGTAAACAAAACCCTCAGCTGTATTAAATAAATAAGAAACACTTGGAAGCTTGAGTCACATGGTTGGCCTACATTTCACTTTGCATTCAGCAAGTTAAATGCAGAATGTTGAATGTGTCAGAGAGATTTACACAAACAAACAAACAAAAAAATACAATATGACTTTGATTGAGATAATTTTTCTGTGACACATAAGTCAAATGTAAAATATAAAGGGGCTTTTGATCCACAGGAAGTTTTAGATGGGCTCAAAGCTGTGACATGACAATAATGTTACATGACTCACTGACACACAACAAATGTGTCATACGTTCAGTGTGTACACCTGCCAAACACACACAGCTCCAGCTAAACGTGAGACATTTTGAACAGATGTTCTGCAGAGGAGTCTCCATGCTCATATTTCTGTGCCTCAAGGCCGTCTTCTACTGTTGCAGTATAATTTGTTTGTGTACAACATTTATGAAGCTACATCAGAGATAAACAGTTCCAAAATGCAATGGTGAAAGAAATGTATATTTCCCTGTAGACAGCTGTTTTTAATATTCTAACATTGATGCAGTGTTTGTGTCTTCTGGTCTTGAAGTTTCTTTAGCCACTTTGTTGTGTTCAGAGCAGCATAAAGGCAGGTTCTATTTCATATAGGCTTCGCCCTTTAAGGCTGTCGCTGATGGGTTTATCCCGTTATGCGCAAGCATCATACTGAAAAAATTAGTCCACGCCCACCTGCTGTGTGGGCCCCACCCGATCCGTATAAATT